CTAGTAGATTCAATGTCTGGTGAGAGCCTGCTTCCTGGTTCATAGACAGCCATCCTTCTGCTGTGTCCTCACATGGCAGAAGGGGCAAGGGAGCTCTGTGAGGTGTCTTTTACAAGGGTTCTGATCCCACCCTCACAACCTAATCACCTCCCAAAGGCCCGTCACATCCCATTAGGGATTAGGTTTCAACAAGAAATTCAGTCTACAGTAATCCTCAACCTGTTTGTCTTCTCGTATACCTTATATTTGTGATTGGTACCACAATCCAGACATTCACTCTAGTTACAAACTCCGGAGTCATCCTAGACTCCCTTTTCCTTATCTCCCACTCTAGCCCATTAGTCACCAAGTCTTTTTTTTGTATTTCACTTTGTGAATTTCTCTCGCATTCATTTCTTCTTCTCCATACAGATTTGTGTGCTAGCGCCTCATTTAGGTGTGTCTGAAATCACCTGTATTTGTATTAAAGCAAACTTTACAAACTGAAAGAAAAGAAGATGGTCATGTTGCTTCTCACTTAAAACTTTTCAATGACCCCATTTTAGCGACATAACAGAACTCAAAGTAACTAACATGGCTCTTAGGCCATTTGTGACCTACCAGCCCTCCAGTCTCCTCTTCCATCACAAGCCCCAATCACCCTCCAAGCGAACTAGACAAGTTATTCATGCCATGTCTTTTTATAAGTTGTGCCTTTTATTTAGAATGCCCTGGTTCATTACAATTTTATTTATCCTTTTCTTAAAAATTAATTCTGTTTTTAATAAAGTAATAAATATACACAAATTTTAAAAAATCAAATAGTACTAAGAAGTTTATAATGATGAATAGCAGATCTTTGTACCTGCCTTCCTGCCTCTTCACCACCCTAGAATCAACCACTTTTGACTCCTTCAGGTGCCTCTTCTGTGTTTATCTCTGTATTGCTAAACAGTATGCTTATAATGCTATTTCTTGACTTGTCAAGTTTAGACTTTTACCTATTGAGATTCTCTTCTAATTCTAGTATAGTTACTATAGGGGTGATACTCAAAACACTTAAGAACTAGCACAGCACAGATTATGATTAATCACAACCACTTTCCCCACATGGTCTGTGTTGGCTAATTACTGGTCCTGATTTTATGACAAATTTTGTTAAATTATCAGTATTTACATTATTATTACCCTATAAATATTGTCCACTGCTGAAACAAATAATGTACTATAATTATGTCATAGTACATTATAACATAATTACTTGCTTACACAATTTTCATTTTCTAGAAGTTATTAATTGATGTTTTAAAAAATCATTTATTACTCATTAAAAACTCACCATAATTCCCGCCTTCTCAGTGAGTCTTTGCTGCCAGGCAGAGTTGATTCTCTGCTCTGTGTTATTCCTGTATTACCTCTTTCGTACTCATCACACTATACCTTATAGATCTGTGTGTCTATCTTCCTTGTCAAAATGTGAGCTCCTTGAGGTTAGTGATAATATGTTATCTTTGAACCTTCAGTGCTGTGCACCAGTGCCAAACACAAAATGTTTAATAAATATCTGTTGAGTTATGGATGGAACAGGAGTGGCCTTTGTCTTTGAAGCAGCCTTCAATATTGGGTGGATGGTTTTGTGAGCATTTCTCTGATTTCTGAGTCGCTCCATACAGATCACTCACTCAAATGCCTGTCAGGGTCTACACAGTTAAAATAAATGAACGCAGCAAGCCCGATGGGGTCTGTGGCATTTAAAGTGGTCACGTGCTACTAGGCTCTAGCCAGCTGTTGCCATGAAGGTGTTTCAGATCTGTGTTGCCAGACCTTCTGCTTTTCAAATAGAAACAGGAAAATCTAGGCTTGATATGAACTGTCATGATTCCATTTTTTAAAACTATGCAGACAAAGTAAATGGTTCTTCAGGCTCAAGCTCGATTTGGTTCATAAGCACCAGCTGATGAAGATTATTAGTGGGAGTAGGAGGGACTGTGGACCCTGTCCCAGAGCCTTGAGCTTGGCGTCCGGTTGGCCTGAGAATGTCTCTACCGCAAGGGGTCCTCCACAGGGGCTCTACCCAGTGGAATTCCTTTGCCAGCTGATGCCAGCATGTGGAGTGAGCCTTAGCAGAAGAGAGCCTGGGCTCAGCCTGCCAGAATGTTTGGAGGGCCAGGCAGGGTTTCGATGGAATCAGGACTTGCTCTGTTATGTGGAAATAAAGAATGATGTGTTAAATCATAAGTGATAGTGGGAAGGAGCAGAAGAAGGGTAAAAATTGTATACTATGTGCCAAGCCCTGTGTGTGCCTTTTCTTATGTTACTCAACTTAGGTTTTACAATAGCCCTGAGGCAGAGATATTGTCATCTTCAGTTTGCAGATGTTGAATCTCTATGAGATTTAGTTTATTTTTCAATTTCCATCATCAGAACAGATCAACTGCAGAATGAAAGCCTCTTGAATCTGCCCATGAAGAAAGCCCATGTATGGGATTTTAAAAATGATTTAAATCTGTTTTTATAGTAAAAAAGAAGACGGTTAAAATTTTCCACTAGAAATTGATTGTTTAGTTTGTTTGTTTGTTTATAGGTTGACCTAAGATTGGTCAATCTTTCAACATTTGTTGAATATCCATTGTATTCTGTGTTAGATTCCAGGATTACCAAACTGATTAATATACAATTCCTGTGCTTGAGAAGTCATAAATGATTGTTTCTGGTTTCTTCTAAGTGTGAAAGGAGGGAGCCAGGTATTGGCATAAAAGATAGGAAAAATCTGGAAATTTGGTTGCCAAATTTTTGTTGTTGTTTTTTTAAAATTTTGAGCTATTCCTTTTTTCTTGTTGCAATCAACAGAATATTCAGATAGAAAAATAAGAAAGTGCAAATAAAGAAAATTAAGGAAAAAGTCTTCTTCTAACCATTGTGGGCAACTCTCTACCTACTTACATACCCAACTTTTTGGACTATTTATCTGTATGGATATTTTTATACTTATCACAAACAGATGCAAACACTCAGATCCCACTACATCACTTTTCTGTAGCCTGCTTCTCTTACTGAGGAATATTTTGAAATGTTTGAAAATCATTTTCTATGGCGGAATAGCATTTTATTGCATGGGAGTATTCCCTATATTTAATCAATTCTCTATTGTTAGATATTTAGGTAATTTCTAATTTTTTATAACCCATGTCACGTGGAGAAATTTTGTAGCGAAATCTTTTTATGTATGTTAAATTATTTCCTTAGGAAAACTTACTAGAAATGAAATTACTGGATTTAAGTGCATGTACAATTTTAAGCTTTTAGCTTTTAGTACACATAGTGCTAAATTGTCCTCCAGAAAAGTAATACTAATTTACCCATCCCCAATGGATATGAGTTTCTATTTCTCTTCACTGTTTCCAATGCTAGTTACCACCTCTTTTTTTAAAAAAAAATTTTTTTTCGAATTCAATAGAGATAGAAAAGAATTTCTGTTTTGAAAAACTCTTTTTGAAGACCTTTTGGCCTTTGACCTTTCTGGATACTATTGTTCTCCGGTACAATACTATCACTTCGTGTTTTGGTTACTTGGTTGGCTCTTTACCTGCCTTAGTAGCTTTGGAGCAGTTTGAGGGTACAGCATGTCCTATCCACCTGTGTGTTTCTGGGTGCTCGTGGATATTGGTTGAACTGAATTGTACCGGAGGACATGTGTAGTTTAGAACCTTGGCTAGATGTAAAAATGTCAATACAATCCGTGGGCAGGTTACTCTGTTCCTACCAGTTACATAATAATGAGAATTTAATTGAACATCGATTATGTGCCAGCAGTGTATTAAGTGCTTTGCACACTTACCTGGATGAATCCTCACAATGCTCTGAAGAAGAGATAATAATCATCTCCACTTTGCTGATGAGGAAACTGAGAGGTTATAAAACTTGCCCAATGTGCATTGGCTGTCAAGTGGAAAAAGCAGGTTGTGAACTCAGGAAAAGTTAACTACCAAGCCGTCTTATCTCTCCTCCACTGCCCTCCCCTCTCCAACTTCTTATTATAGATACTTAAAAATATATATAAAAGTAGAGAGAACAGCAGAGTGACCCTTGATATACCTACCACCCGGCTTCAGTAGTTACCAATATGTGGCCAATCTTGTTTCATCTATGCCTTTCCCTCACTACCTCACAGCCCTCTTCCCTGGTTGGATTATTTTAAAGCAAATCAGAAATTCATTAATTTCCTTAATAAGTATTTAAATACATATCTCTAAGAGATATGGACTCTGTTTTTTGTATCCAAACCACAATATCATTATCACACTTGAAACTATAACAATTTCTTCATATTCTCTAATGTCCAGACAATGTCAGATTTCCTTAATTATCTCATAAGTGACTTTTACTGTTGCTTTGTTTGAATCAGGACCCTCGCAAGGTCTACACTTTGTATTCTAAGCTGTCCTAACCTCAACACAGTGTTCCTCTCTTCCCCATGCCTTTCTATGAAGCCTGTCCTTGTTAGAGACAGAGGTACTTAGCTGGAGGAATTTGAAAATTTTAAATAATTCCTATGAATTGAATATCTAGTTTGCATCTCCCCAGAAAGAAGCACACTCAACAGTTTATACCTGAAAAACACTGGGTCCGTGTGGCATGGAGAAAATACATTGCTACGCAGGTTCATCATCCCTTCTCCCTGGAAATTCATCAGTGTATTCATCCGCTGGCTGAGAACTCCCTCTGTTCTTCTGCTTGTAGGATAAGGCTCCATCACAACTATGGTCAAGTCTCCTCATTTAAGGGGCCAGGGCTTGTCAGATGTAAGTGCTACTGGCCTGAAAATTCTGTCTTGAGCCCTGAGCTTAAAAAATGAGACACGCTGGCCTGTGTAGCCCTCCCTTGCTGCGGGAGAATGACTTGGAAATGGAAAGCCTTGTTATTTTCATAAATCGTCATGACTTTGATAGAACCTTTCACATTGAGCACATTTTCATTGAACGAGTTTTCATGTTTGTTTTGGTTCTGTTTTAAAATTGAAGGTCTAGTGATCCTCCACTGTGTCGTGGCAGATGGGAATTCAACCAGGAGTCCTGAGAATGATGGCCTTCTCTGTGGAGATCGTGGAGAAAATTGCCCAGGTAATGCATAACAAGCGATGCATTTGTTTTTATCAGCTTTATATTCAACCTCAGAAACTTGACCCCCCTAAATTTTAAGTTGTTGATAATATAATAATCATAAAACTAGGTAGTTTTGAGCACATGTTAATGTACCAGGCTCTGGGCTTTACATATAGTAATTCATTCATTCCTTGCAAGAACCCTATGAGCTGGATAATATTTTTTACTTTATTTCAAGGTGAAGCTAGAAAGAATACGTAACGTGCCGAAGGTCACACAGCTGATATATCACAAATCTGGGATTCACGCTCAGGTCTTTCTCATTCTGGTGCTTCCATTCTTCATCATTATACTATTTGGGGCATTGTAGATGTGTGTGTGCTTCAGTCTCCAGCATGTGATGTCTTGGACTAGATTCGTAGAAAGCTGGCATATTCTATTCAAATTAAAAAAATATTTTTTTCTATTTTATAACTTAGAAGAGGGAAGAAGGCAACAATTTTAAAACATATTTTACCTTGAAGATTCCTGAATTAGCATTCTCACATTTAGTAGTCTGAGGCAGGGATCAGCCTTAGTAAAGAGTCAGATAATAAGAATTTAGGTTTTGTGGGTCACGCGGTCTTTGTTGCAACTATTCTGCTCTGCCATTGAACTATGAAAGCAGCCATAGACCTATGCAAATGAATGGCCTTGGATGTCTTCCAATAAACCTTTATTTAGAGAAACAGGCCGTGGGCCAGATTCGGCATTGGGGCCATAGTTGGCTGACTCCTGGTCTAAGGTCTGTCTGTCCTTTATAAATTGCATAGTCTGGTGTTCTACAGGAGTTGTTTCTTATTTTAAAACAAAACAAAACACAACACAGGCCAATTCCAAAAGTAGGGCAGAGTGGAGAAGAGCCTCTTGTATTCCCTGGAAACTTCTCTGAGCTGGGAGTATGGTGACGTGGTGTAAGTGCTCCTTTCCTAGCACCCTGGGAATGTTGTAACTGAGCCAGGAACACGCTGAGCAAGTCATCCTGATGTGAGTCATCAGTTCCAGCCCAACCTTCATCTTTCTTTCCCTCCCACTAGTGGGTGGTCCGGAGAGTGCCCACAGTCTGTGGAGTCCATCGCTGTGTTAGGTCACGCTTGTGCAGGTCTTGTCACCCATGTAGTGAGAAGGACAAAGCCAACTTTATGTGTTTGTGTGCTTTTCTTAAGTCTGGTTTCAAATGTCTTAAATGACAACATTTTCACATTTCCTTTGGGAGATTATTCCATAATCTGATGATTGACAGTGTTAAAAAAAATCTTCCTCATCATCCTCCTAAATGTATTTTTATATTTTTTTATTGTAGTAAAAACATTTAACATGGGATCCGCCCTTTTAACAAAATTTTAAGTGTACAGCACAATATTATTAATTATGACAACTGATGTTGTATAGTAGATCTCTAGAAATTATTTATCTTACAGAACTGAAACTTTAAGAGGAGAGAGGAAAAGAGATGAGAAAGCATCGAGCCTCAATGCATTGCAGAATTTAGAGGTTAGGGGAGCTGAGGTCAAACCAGCAGGGGAGAATGAGCAAAGGAGGTATCACATGCATTCTTTTTTTTTTTTTTCCACACGCACTCTTGAAAAACAAAAGGAAATACAATTTTTTCCCTGTCGATTCTTCTTTGTCTCCTAGCCATGAATAATTTTAGATACATGAAATACACTCAAATCTCAATACTGGATTCTTTTTTCTTCCTTTAAAGGGCTGGAATGAAAAGGGCAGCTCTAAGTGAAGGTTTACTCCTGTAAGCTCAGGAATGGTTGGCACAGTCCTTCTGGTTAAAAGACATGCTGATCAGACCTGATTGGCCCCCCGTGTAAGCATATCCTAGTAAACCAGGAAGGTAATAAGTACATCTGTGAGATTTATTTTTCTTTTCCTGGAGAAACAGACCAATTCACAGTTTTACAGGAAACTGCATTGAATGGAAGATAAATGGGAATCCTCAATTACAAAACATTTTCCAATTTTGCACTTTTTCAAGAGCATCATGAATTTACATTCCCCTGTCCCACAGAGATAGTTGGCAAGATAAGAAGGAAAATTAACTTAAAAAGTATAAAACTTTCTTCCTCCCCTCCTGGCTTAAGAAGGTTGTAAAATGAAGAAACCCTTATTGGGAAGATGCTTAGAACATTAAAGCCTCAGGCTGTACTTCATAGAATAGGAGCAAATGTTTCTCCAGACTCTGCTGTGACCACTTGAACTCTTCTGTGCACTGGTTGTTCCCCCTATTTTTTAGGTCAGATATCTGCGTGAGAAGATGAATTTATAGGTATTTGTTTTCCTTCCTCTCTCTCCTTGATAACAGTTGAGGGACTTCTATCTCAAAATTTAGTATCCCTTTTTAAATCTCTTACACAGAGATTGAACTATGTATCTAACTAAAGGTTTAGAGATACAAGAGGTTATAAACATTGTAATGAGATTTACCAAAAAAGCATTGTCATAGTAATTGTATATTACCTTTAGAGTTGATTTCAGAAGAGTTGCTGATATTAATATCATTTGCAAAATCATTAAATAGATTTTTCATGAGCATTATTGGAATAAATAAGGGAAGGTTTTCCGAAAAGTAAACCTAATGTATCAATTGTGAAGAGTTTTAATCACAAAGGCATCACAAAGCCCGTTTTGGCTTGAGGATAAGAACCATGTACAGAAAGACTAAGGAATCACACTGTTTAATCAAAGCATCCATCAAATTGAGGAAAATTCCATATTTAAACGAGGTTATTTGGGTGTCTGCTGTATTCCTCCACTTTAGTTTGGCCCAAGGGAATCCATCACATGTCATCTAATTATTCATATGACCCTAAGAAGGTGACCACTTCCTATCTATCTGCCCATACTATCAGTGAAAGCTATTCTTTTTCCTGATCCCTTTTACTAACTCTTAGAATCAAATTTTGACATCACTGACCTGCAGTAGCCCTGGTATTTTCTTATTTAATTGGTTGTAGAATCTCTGAAATACAGTGTCTCATGAAGAGTTTATGATATGTTACCTGTGGTGCCCATCTGCTTATAAGATTGTGTTGCGATCTGGTCCTCTGGTACATGTAATTTTCTCCAGCAATTTTGTGGGACAAACTCACTCCCGGAGGAACGTTCTGGTTTGAGGAATGTGGGTTGGAAAAGAATAAGGTGGGAGGGGAAAAGATCAGTTAAGTTCCACCACCCCCAGTATCAGGGAAATCTTCACGGCTGTTACATTTTCAAGACCATACCATTTACTTCTCAAAAGAGAAACACAATACATGGGACTAATCATTCTTTTGTCATAAGATTAACTTTTCCTTTTTCTTGGTAAACACCTCTGGAATGGAAGGGTAGATTTTGCCATCCCCTGCCCTATGTCATCAGGTCTCATGATAGTCAGAAAATGTTAGATTTCACAGCTGTTCAATTTTCAGATAATGTGGTCTTGATGAATATTAGATGAAAGCAACTGGAATTTTAGGTGCATTTCAAAAGGGGGAATGCTGATAAGCCTTCTCATTACCATGAGAAAGAGAGAGGATCCCATTTGGGTTTTTTTTTGGGGGGGGGGACTCGGTATGTGTGATTAAGTTTTCTTCCAGGTTTTAAAGTTCCAGAGAGAAATCTTAGGACATTTTCTGCTTGGTGGCATGGAAGGGTTTTTTAATCCAAATAATGCTGGGAATATTTAAGGGCATGCTTATTTGCAAAGGAGAGAACTCTGTGAGCAATCAAAACAGGGCCTGGCAAACATTTCCCTGGCATGGATTTGTGTTGCTTGGATGAACCAAGGCTGATCAAATCACTGCATCCAGCAGCTGCTGGTTAAGGCGCTCTCTGGTATCTTGCTCTGTATGGTGTTTATTAAAAGACTGGCTATGTTTAAAGGGGCGTGACAGCCAGAGGAATTAGTAAAGTTCAGGATACAGAGCCATATGGCTTATATTTAAAGTCAGGTGTGCTTTGCAAAGTAGAAAAGACCTTTCTGGAGCAAGGAGATCTGTCAGTAAGTCTTACCGCTTCTTTATGGGAGTATAGTTGATTTACAGTGTTGTGTTAGTTTCAGGTGTACAGCAAAGTGATTCAGGTATACATATATCTATTCTTTTTCAGATTCTTTTCCCATACAGGTTATTACAGTGTATTGAGTAGAGTTCCCTGTGCTATACAGTAGGTCCTTATTGATTATCTATTCTTAAATTCATCTCCTTGCCCTCCATTTCCCTGCCCCAGGCCTATATCCTGTATGTCTGCATGGCTTGGATATGCCTTGGATTCCTCTTTTCCCCTTTGGTATCTTCCTACTTTAATCCGTTGTGCACTTTCCTGTCTAATACATTGATAAAACACTTCACAGTTTAGGTTTTACGTATTTCATGTAATTTAATCCATAAGAACCTTCTTCAGCTCTCTCCCACCTTGTATTTCAAGGGTAAACACTTCAGCCCACTGACATTTGTGGTCTCTGACTTCCATTCACAGCCATCCTTGGCTACTCTCCTTCAGGCCTCTTCCATATCCATTAAATCTACCACCCACCTCCTGCATAAGGCTGGCATATTCCCAACCCCGAGCTTTTGCTCTTGACATTATCCACAACTCAACTGCTTGCTCACCTCCTCCTAAAAAAGTCTACGTTTCCTAGAAATTTTCTTTAATTAGATAAGCCCTCTTTGTACTGGCACAAGATTTCTCTTAGAATTGTCAGGATTTTCAAGATTCTAGAATCAACTCATTTACCGGGACTTTATTGTCCCGGGTACTTTGCTAGGAATTTCCACATGTATTTTTTATTTGAGCCTCTCAACAGCCCTTTAAGGTAGATGTTATCATCTTCAATTTCCAGATGATGAAACTGAGGCTCAGACAGCTTAATTAGCTTGCCTGGACCCATAGGGCTCATGAAAGGCAGAGCTGAAACACTAATTTCCTTCCTCCTAAGCCAGTATTTTTTCCACTGTTTCCATGTTTCCATGGTTACTATGGTTGTTTTTACTGGTTTGTTGCTTTTTATTGACTTAAATTTGTTCTATTGTACCAATGTAGATAGTTAGATAGGATATCCCTTATTTCTTTGATGTTTTCCAATGCCTACTACAGGGCTATGGAAAGAGGAAGTACTTGATGGATGGAAGATGACCTTCATTTGACCAATTTATTTGCCAAAGTACACAGATCTTTGCCTTTGAGACACTTTGCAATTCTTTCTGGGAGAAATTTCACTAAGAGTCCCATTGATTGGCATGCGTGGGAGCAAATGTCTGGCACGTACAGGCAGTCCGCATGGCTGGTAATCAAGTCACCAACCAAAACCAGGTCAACCAGTGCCTCAACAACATTCTGTCACCCTCCAAAACTCTGTGACCTGGCATCACAGAAATTTGCTGTGTATAGATCATCCAGAGTCCTTTGCAATTCTCCTCTCTGGTGACCCTGGGTACTTTTTTTATATAGGTATATGTATGTATATATACTCATCTCATAATATTAATTAAGAAGTTTAGTAGTCACTGCTATTTATAAAGGGATCGTGTAACGTCATTGGGGTGCCAGGTGCCATGCCAAGCCTAGTGTGAAATGCGCTCTGAAGTGACCACTGTAGGCTTTCTGGGTCCACAGGTGTCTGAATCCTGCAAGCTGTTGGTCACACCATGACTATGGAAAGGCCGACCCTGGGCTGGAGCTGGCTAGTTAGCAGTTTCCTCTGGGTGTGGGCAGGTGTCTGTTGCGAATCAACACATGGAACAGCTAGTTAGTATTTCTTTACTGTTTCTCTTGACAATCCTTGTTTCTTGAAACTTTCTACACGTAAACGATGGAGAAATCCCTCCATATTACACCCCCTGGTGAAAAATTAACTTTGAAAACTTAGGCAATTAAGATTCTGAAAGGTAAGACAAGGAAGTCAGTGTAGGAGTGAAATCCTGGATATGAAGCTTACAGTGTTTTCCTCCTTCAGGGCAAGAGAAACCCTCCAGGGGTCAGATGAGAGGGATAATCTCCCATTCAGAGAAGCAGGACTTCTGGGTGCCGCAGGCTGAGAGCAGATGACAGCTACCTGCCTGACGGAGCACCAGAGTGGAGCAGGCAGAAGCGTGGACTCTGGGACAGGACTGCCTGGGTTTGAGTCCCAGGTCTGCCACATATTAGCTGCATGATCTGGGAAAGTGATTTAGCCTCTTTGAGTTGTGCTTTGCTCATCCATAAACAGCAGTTAGAACAGTGCTTCCCTCACAAGCCTCTTCTGAGTATGAAATGAGTAAATACAGCCCTCCCTCCGAATCTGCGGGTTCTGCATCCGCAGATTCAACCAACCGCGGATCCCAACTGGGGGATACCGAGGACCGACTGCAAATGCCATTTAATACAAGGGACTTGAGCATCTGCGGATCTTGGTGTCACCTGGGGTCCTGGAACCAATCCCCCTCAGATACCGAGGGATGACTCTCTCTGTAAGGCTACAGACCAGCATCTGGCACTAAGGGCTGTGTTTAAGTTAAAAAAAGAAAAAGAAAGGCAAAAACCCTCCTCTCTTTTCAATGCCATCAGCCCCATGTCTCTGACAATCTTCATGGAAAGAAGAGGCTTCTCTCTTACCACAATTATGCTTTACGCTTTAAACAACACTAACGTTTCTGAGAGGTAGTTTGGACAGAAATCTTAGTTAAAATACGAGACGTTCCTGTCACAATCCCCATTAGCCAATCTCTAGGGCTAGTTTCGGGTCACAAAAGTCCGACACATGCCAGTGTGGGGAGAAGGAGAAATGAGACATTGGAATATATTCCACAGCAAAACTGGCAGCAGAGTTAGGAATATGATTCTACTTACAAACGTATATTTAAAGTGAGTTGATTTATTGAATCATTTCTCATTCTTCAGCTACGACCACACAACCAAAGCGAAGAGGCCACTTCTCTCGTTGCCCCAAACAGTACAAGCATTACTGCATTAAAGGGAGATGTCGCTTCGTGGTGGCCGAGCAGACGCCCTCCTGCGTGTAAGTGAAGCGCTGAGCCGACAAGCAAAGGGGTACAGACTGGTGCCGGTTTGGGGGGTGACAGGACTGGAAAGTCTGAGCTAATCCAGCCATCTGTTGGGATGCAGTTCCCCCTGGTCCTACCCCCTCCCCTCCCTGCGCCACTTGTTTAGGGGCCCCCGTTGGACAGCTACTTATGGAGAAACTGACGCACACTTTCCTGCTGAAATATGAGCATGCGAGAGTCCAGATCGCCTTCCAGGCAGGGCTGTGTCTTCTGCTGCCTTGCGCAAGCAAAACTGTTTCTGTCCAGTGTTAAGGATGCTTTTCAGCTCAAATAAACTCCCAGGGGTTTGTTGCACTCGAATGCAAACACAGTCTTCTGGCGTGTGTTAGGTGGTTCATGGTGAATGTAAATATGAAAGAATTTCTGCCAAATTACAAGCTACTTTTGCAGGTGTCAATTAAGTGCATGGAGATCAGTCCTATTTTTAGAGATTCACAAAGCCTGTTTAGTACCGCAGGGAACTGGGAGGAACGTTCTCTTTCCAACTCTTGGTAGATTGAGTCCAAGTTTAATTTTACTCAGGCACAAACAAATTTTTTGCATATCTTAAATATTTATTTTCTTCTAAAGATGTCTCTGTAAAGTGCTGTCTGAGACCCTACCTCGCAGAGGAGCAAGATGATTTCTTAAGTATATTTTTGACCTAAAGTCATAGAGCGCTGATGTTCTTCTGTGTAGTTGCCCCAGGATTCTCTTTTTTTTTTTTTTCACAAGTATCTCAGAACAGTGATTCCAAGCCCTGATATAGTGGAACATTGAAGAGTCATGGACTTCAAAGTTTGATTATAATTAAATTTAATTAAAAAATCAATATACACAGATAATACTTAGAGGGGAATAAGAAAAAAGACTAATGTTAGGAAATAAGGAAAATGTGCTTGTGCGTGTGTTGGGAAAGATAGAGCTGATTTTTGTTTTTTTATAAATGTATTTATTTATCTTTGGCTGCGTTGGGTCTTTGTTGCTACGTGCGGGCTTTGTCTAGTTGTGGCGAGCAGGGGCTACTCTTCATTGTGGTGCACAGTCTTCTCACTGTCATGGCTTCTCTTGTTGCAGAGCACGGGCTCTAGGCGCACAGACTCAGTAGTTGTGGCTCAAAGGCTGTAGAGCCCAGGCCCAGTAGTTGTGGTGCAGGGCTTAGCTGCTCCACGGCATGTGGTATCTTCCCAGACCAGGGCTCGAACCCGTGTCCCCCGCATTGGCAGGCAGATTCTTAACCACTGCACTACCAGGGAAGTCCAGGAGTTGATTTTTTTTGAAAAATTCATTTAATTGCTCACTGACTTGGGAGAATATCATGAATTTTTAAAAGAGTAATGCCCTTTAACCCAGTACATTTCTTTAACTGGTCCCTATGTCTGTAGATGTACTGTTCTTTAATATTGCTGCCTTCTAGAATGAAAACCACAGGGTGTAATCTACCTGCCTGAGATCAATACACAGCCTGTTCCCCTCAGTCAGAGGTTAAAACCCATTTTCTCCCTAGCTTCTCTGATGCTGGCTTGACTTTCTAGCTATGTCTCTCACCACATTCCCCAATGTTCTTCCATAATCCTACATTCCTTTGCATGGCTTATTAGACAAGCTCTTCTCATAGTCTGAAAGTTTATTCTTACTGACACTTTAAGATACAACTCAAACATCAGCTCCTCCTGGACCCCTGCGTTGATTTGAGTTCGATGTCCTTCCTCTGTGATTCAGTCACACTTCTGTGAAAGCTTTTTTCCCCTGGAGCATCACTGTTGATTTCTCTGGACATCCCTTCTGTGGCTGTGGGCTCCTAGACGCCAGGGAGGATGGCTTATTCATTTTCATATTCCAGTGCCAAGCACAGTGCCTAGAATTTACTAGGTGTGCAAGAAATGTCTGACGAATAAACGAACAAGTCCCTCTGTCATGGTTCATCTAGTGCTGTGCTAGATGTCAAATCCAAGACCTTCACCTGAACCAGGAGCACCTTCTTAGTGGTGGAATGACACAAAAATCAAGGGGAGGAGGAAGAACACGCGAATCAGGACTCAGGTTTTGGAGTAAGACAGACCTAAGTCAAGATTTTGTTTCCGCCAGTTATAAGCAGTATTAACAATGGGTCAGTCACCTTTCCTGAATGTTTTTTTTTTAAAAATAAATTTATTTATTTAATTTACATTTATTTTTGGCCACATTGGGTCTTGGATCCTGCGTACGGGCTTTCTCTAGTTGCTGCGAGCAGGGGCTACTCTTCGTTGCGGTGTGCGGGCTTCTCATTGCGGTGGCTTCTCTTGTTGCCGAGCACGGGCTCTAGGCGCATGGGCTTCAGTGCTTGTGGCAGGAGGGGTCAGTAGTTGTGGCATGCAGGCTCTAGAGTGCAGGCTCTGTAGTTGTTGCGCACGGGCTTAGTTGGTCCACGGTATGTAGGATCTTCCCAGACCAGGGCTCGAACCCGTGTCCCCTGCATTGGCAGGCGGATTCTTAACCACTGCGCCACCAGGGAAGCCCCTGAGTGTTTTATCATCTATAAAAGAAGATAACATCTTCCTTTCAAGTGTTGAAAATTAAGCAAAATAATACATCAGGCAAAAGTACTTATTGTGATACCCAGCACAGAGTAAATGTCCCATAAATTGTACCATTCAAGTGAATGGGAAGTATACATCTTCGGCCTGACCTTTTAGGTGACTTGGTGTGGCACAGATCAAGCAAAGGGGTCTTGTAATTGGTGATTACGCTATCTTGGGAAACCATAACTATCTCCTTTTGCTTGGGATCATAGGAGTTTGTGGACTCCTGTCTTTACATAAAAAACCAAAGTGTGTTTCAAATAACTCAAGTGCCTTCTTAGTCTTCTCAGTATTTTTGTGGAATGGAGATGGTTTGTTTCCAGGTACATAACTTTGATTTACTTACATGGCACAATTCATTTAGGTAGTGTTACATGTGGGTGGGTGCATGTACTGGGGAGCCAGACTTCCTGTATTTGAATCCAACCCCACTCACTTATTTTCTCTTTACTTCCGTTTCTCCACCTGTCAAAGGGGGTTCATAATAGCACCTACTTCAAAGGTCGTTATAAGGATCAATTAAGTTAATACTTATACATCTATTAGAACAGTGTCTGGTGATTATTTCTGAATAGCGATCCCAAATCCTGATTTTTCAGAGTCCTCAAGGGTCATAGCATCTTTAAATGTTATTTTTAATTTTAATTTGTAAGATGTTTATTAAATAAAAACTCACTTATTCATTGCTCAGCATTTATTAAACATCTACTAGCATCTTTCACCCTTTGCCTCTTCCTCTCCCATTGAAATGACCATCAGCTGATATGTTATTAATTTGATGAGCAGTGAAACAATGTGAGAGCCACTGTAACTGGCTGTGTAAGAGTCTGACCAGCTACATGGCTTCATTGGGTTATAACTTACAGGAAGGACTGCTTACTGAGAAATTCATTTAAAGCATGGGTGAGCAACTGAACCCAGAACTTATAATTAGAAAAACATTCTAAAAGCAGCAAGTAATTGCTATGTACTTTATGGGCACAGTTATTTGTTTAAAAATGCTGTATTTAGTAAATTTGTTAGAGAAACGTTTCTGCTAATTGGAAGAGACTCTATTTGTAGATTTTAATTATAACCTTAAAAAAAAAAACAGAACTCTAAAGACCTCCCTCCCACACATGCAATTAAAAGTGATTTTTCCCCCCAGTTCCAGTCCTATGTGCAAAAGATTTTTGATATTTCAAGATATTTCTAAGCTCTCTTCCTGTTATTTTGACCTTGCAATGAACAGCCTAGCTATCTTGCAGGAAGCAATTTTCCCTCATACATCCTGGGGTCATTTTGCAATAGATGGCATTAGGTGTTTTTTCTCCTTTGCTTGCCTTGAGCCTCACCTTTCAATTGATGGTTGTGACTGAGCGAGGCTTTTTTTTTTTTTTTAAGCATTGTATCAGCTACAATATTGCCAGCCAGTAAGGGATCTCCTTACTTGAGAAATAAAGCTTTGTGGGAATTAACTGCCTTAGCTCTTATCAAACATAAACTGTCGAGTGGCCTGGCAATAGATCCTTTCATAAAAGAAACAAACAAACAAACACAACCAAAAATGAGGTTGCACAGGAATCTTTGTAAGAAGTAGAGCTTCACCTTTCCGAGATTTCAATAATTATGTATATGACCAGTATCTCTTCGTGTTTCGAATGAGTCTGAGGAGAAGAAAAAGGGAGAATATTTGTTAGTGCAAAGGTGTTGATGTTGCAACACATAATTTTGGTTTTAAAGTAGCCTCAGACAAACTTCTTAGTCAGCTTTTATGCATCTTACACAATTCAGAGAATACTATGAATGGTCCCTAAATCACTGAGCTGTAGGGGGTTGAGTGTTGCTTGGACAAATCTCGGCTTGGTCAAATGGCTCTGTATCTGCACCTTCAGAAGTGGGGCATATGCTAAGTTGAGGTGAATTCAGGACTGTTGACGGAGTTGGAAGAATGAGAGGGGGAATAGTGCCATTTGGAGAGTCTGTTGATTTCTGGTCACGGCACTTTACTTGGGCCATAGGAAAAAGGGGCATTTAGAGGAGAGTGGAGGGCATGGTGTACAGTTCTGAATATGTGGCCTCAGAGGGTCAGATAAAGCAACTGGAGAGGATGAGACCTATTGTATTTTGAGGGGATGCAGTTGGGAAGGTGGTGAAGGGAAGAGTTACCTAGCTGTTACTCCTGAACACAGTAGAACCAGAACGGATGCATGGAAGTTAAAAAGAGAGGCCAGGGGGCTAGGGGTTGGGGGGAGAGAAATCCTGTAGAATAACATTTATGGAGCTTTCTATGTGTTCCATGTTTGATCATATAAGACCATATACTTTAAAAATAATTTATAATAGGAGAATTTGGGCACACTGAAACGCTTTGTATTGTCCTATGATGAAATGGGAAATCCTGGGGCTTTTTGAATTCCCTGTTCTGGGGGTATTTAAACACTTGGGAGTGCTGTGTAGGGAATTTTATCACCCCCTTCCTTTCAAGACAGATTTTAGTAAATTGTTATCATCCCTGTTTATTGACATTAGGCGTATTATTAATGATGTTCAAGGGATGACAGGTTTTCAGCAAAGAATGAAATTTCTCATGAACACCGTGGTTTTACAACTTAACATTTTTTAAGGAACTACACCCTTTATTAATTCCAAGTAATGAATACAGTGTTAGTTTCTTCAAAAAAGAAACAGTAAAGATTCTTAAAAGTCTTTCACTTTTGACCTTGTTGCCCTCTTCTTGTTTCACTTTTATAGCTGTGATGAAGGCTACGCTGGGGCGAGATGCGAGAGAGTTGACTTGTTTTACCTAAGAGGAGATAGAGGGCAGATTTTGGTGATCTGTTTGATAGCAGTTATGGTAATTTTTATCATTTTGGTGGTCGGCATCTGCACATGCTGTCAGTAAGTTCTTTTAAATTTAATTTTAAGGGAATCGGAAAACCTTTATCTTTCCTATCTTCTTTCCTTCCTTCCCTCCTTCCTACCTTTTCTCTCTCCTTTCTGCTTTGATTTAAATCACTTTTCACAGTTTGCCATCATTTATTTAGAAGCATTTATAATAAACACAGGACATATACTTGTTGTCATTTCCTGAGCATAATTATTGTAATTTAAAATAAAATTTATATAAATCTCCTAATTAAAAAAAAAAGGAGGTGGGCAAAATGAATGAAGGGGACCTAAATATACAGACTCCTCGTTGTAAGATAAATAGGTCATGGGGATGTAATGTACTAATGGTGAGTATAGTTAATAATACAGTATTGTATATTTGAGAGTTGCTTAGAGAGAGATCTTCAAATTCTCATCACAAGAAAGGAAACTTTTGTAACTATGCGTGGTGATGGATGTTAACTAAACTTACTGTGGTGATCGTTTTGTAATATAAACAAATATCAAGTCATACCTGAAATGAATACAATGCTATAGATCAGTTATATCCCAGTGTAAGTCAATTATTTAGTCCTAAAGTCCATCATATTCTATGTGGGTTTATTAATAGGCCAAACAATACTTTTATTTTCTTAAACTGTACCATGACACAACAACTTTGAAAGATGGAAACAAACAACAATATTTTTTTCTTGGTCCCATTAAAATAATGAATTTTATTTATGAAAGATGACTGCACTGTTCCTCCTGTCTTTACTTTTCATTATTTACCTCATCGTTGGTAATTAAGAAAAACCTTGTTTTTTCTCTGAGACAGAATGGCTTGGTATAATTCTTAAGTTAGTTTTGGAAACTCATCAAATTTTTTATCAGGCCAGGACTCCCACATAGCATGCTAAAAAGGCATTTTCTAAAATGCTACCTTCTTGTCCTGAGAAGCCTCCTAAATTGTTACATTTACCCTCGGGCTGTGGTATTTACTAGAGGAGGGTGTTGCATGATTCCTTTCTTTGCAGCATTCTGGGTAGAAAGGCATTAGCACAGCTATCGGCAGTCCAGAGTGATTTTTGTCCCAGCTCCGTCATTAGACATCTTTGAGACCTTGGACAAGTTTCTTAACCTCTTTAAACTCTGATTTTATTTTCTGTAAGACAGAGGATTAAACCAAATAATCTGTAGGATTCCTCCTAGGTATAAAATTGGAAGGTATTTTTCAAGATTTTACCTACTTGATGGCAAAAAGGACTTTTTATAAGGCCAAGTTTGGGGCAGAGCTGGGAAATGCCCTATTTTATTACATTAATTTTACTTTAAGAAAACTGGACTGCAGCCCAGAATATCTAACACACTTCTTAATTAGTATATCTAGAAACTTAATTAACATATCCAGAGGCTACCCTCACTCTCTTGGTTTTCTTTTGTCTGTTTCCATTTTGTACTATTTCTTATTTACACATTAAACAATACTTATCAGTCTATTTTGTAAAATGGCTTGGCCTGAAAACGTTTCTTGTGCTCACCAAGATCTATCAACAGTTAGGTACCATATTTTTCCTATGTATCTATAACTACACCCTATCCACACTGATGCTATTGTAGCTATCATGTGAGCCTAGAGAAAGGGATGGATAAAGCGAGAACCTAAATTTTATTTTTTTAAAAAAGGAACCTATACATTTTTAACAGTCTAGAAATAAGATCATGGGCTCTCTTGATTAATTTTGTGATTGCATTAACTAATAGGACCACACTAATTTCTAACACTTTGTTTTCCAAGTCCTCTTCGGAAACATCGAGAAAGAATAAAGAAGGAAGAAGAAATGGAAACTCTAGGTAAAGATATAACTCCTATAAATGATGACATTCAAGAGACTAGTATTGCTTAATGGTAAGTGTGATAAACTTGGTAGATGGGGAACACGTGACATTTACCTGGTGAAGTAGGGCTTAACTGCATCAAGTAAATCATTGTTTGGGATTTGATTATGTTTAAAAACATCTAAAAATAAATTGACTTTTTTTTTTTCATAGAATCTGAAGCCAAATAAAAGACTTTCTCATATCTTCCTTTTGGATGTCACTCTACCACAGAGATAGAATGTGGACTTTTATATACTTTTTCTAATGTACTGAGATCAGTCTGCTTTCTAGTTCTGCATGGCTGTGGTCGTTATTTTATATTCTTATAAAATATTATAAGATACTTGATATATTTTTCCAATATATCACAAGAGAGAAGAATTTTAGTTTAGACATCTCACACTGAAAGGAAATAACAAAAGCAATATTTTAATGACTGCATTTATTGAGCATTTACCACATGCCAAGCACTGTTCTAAGCTCTTTTAAATATTCTATCATTTGGGATTTCAGCAGGAATCACAAATCCTCTCGGATGATCCAAAAAAAGACATTTCGATGAAGGGGCTGGGAGTGCAGGGGTGAGGGTACCCATAGGAACGTTGAGGCTCCCAGAGTCTAGCAATTGCAGGAGGCTGTAATGCTGGGGAAGAGGTACCTTGGCCTTGAGAATCTGGCTGTGCTGGAAGACCCCACCAGGCAGGAGCTGTAGCTGTGGATGGAAATAGCCACAGCCGGCACCTAAACAATGAAGGAGGCAGGAAGTGGAGAAAAATGCCCCCAAACCTTCTCTCCTCTTGCCTTCAGATCTTTGGCAGGTGCCTCCCACTAGCCAAACTCAATGAGAATCCAGAGGAAAAGGGAGCCCTTGTGATGCAATCTGTAGGTCAGCCCCACCCCGGAGCGCGGAGCAGCAGCACAGAGGAAGACTCAAGGGGGCAGACGGAGCATAACTAGCTCAGTCAGACGGGGTAGTTTTGTCTGTAGGGCATCAAGCACAACCAAACTGGTTTAAAATAAAGGAAGTGTATTGGCTCACACGCACTGGCAGTCCAGAGGGAAGGTAGCATTCACACTTGCTTGTACCAGAGTTCCCATGCAGAGAACAATTATTTCTGTCCTTCTGTTCACCAGTTGAAGAGTTGGCTTCATCTTTGGCTAACTCCTCTTAGGTCATAGAAGAGGCCGGTAGCAATCAAGGCCACATACTTTCTTGTTCCCATCCAGCAAGCGAGAAAGATGACTTTCTATAGCTCGCCCCACAGTGCAAAGAATCTCCTTTCCCAGGAACGCCCAGCAGAGTAATAGGGTATAGTAAATGCTTACCAAGAAATTATAATATTCTCCTAACTTATTACCAGAATGACACGAATGAATTGAAAACAAAAATGCTGGCTCTAGATATTTTTTGTAATTACATAGTACATTTCTTTTCAATGGCTTGCTCTTTTTTTCCTTTTTCCTGCAGTCTATGAAGGTACCTCCAGGCTGGTGGCAAACTACAAAATACCTTACTCATTTGAAAATGGACAGACTGTGTCTCAGGAAAACAGCTAGCGAAATGAATTTTAAATAATGTATTTACTTTTTGTTTGTAATGTTAATTTGTGTTGTTTACTGTTGTTTTTATAATAATAATAATAAGTAATTTTATTATTATATAGTATTTGGGAAAAGCACCCAGTTAAGAAGGGAAATTTTAATAAACTTCCACTTAAGTTTTGTCACCGGGATTACTAGTCAAACAAAAAAGAAGAGTAGGAAGGAGTTTAGATCCGAGGAATTGAATTAATAATAAAGCTACTATTTATCCCAAACTTACTATGTGCTAAGAGTTTGAAATACATTGTTTCCTTAATTCTTTTAAGGATCTATGATCCTCATTTCTCATGTATAGAAACAAGCCCTAAGAAGTTAAATAATCTAACCCAGTTTTACAGAGTTAGGAATAGGTAGAGCTGAAACTGGAACCAAGATTTACCCAAGTTCAAAGTTTGTGCTCTTAACCATCATTGTTTTTTCATTGGAGTTGTTGCAACCTAACTCACAATATAACCCAAGACTTCACCCTAAACTGTGTTTTGCCATGACTCTGAGACACTGGTGCATTTTCCTGCAGAAACTCAGAATGCAGAGTCCTGGATATATGTTATTGTTACCATCATGCTTTCCGTAGTCTTGACTTTCATTATGCTTCTTTGCTCCTTTATAAATTCTCAGTGATATGCACACATTCTTACATTTCTAAAGCAAACAGATTTGCCCCATAGCTAGGGTAATGAGCAGAGATGGGAAGTAAATGCCTGAAGTCTTTAAGCCCCAGGTAAGTGTCTATGCTTGCTAAAGGATAGATAATAGCACTGGAAGAGGCTATGTATCCCGGGGTAAATGGTCAGTGACAGTACAGCAGAGCCCAAGCAGACACTGGCTGTGACCATACCCTCATTTGTTCTTCCAAGCAAACAGTACCCGTGATTGCTCTCAGGTGAATTTTGGTGCCATCAAATTATGACCATAGTCATCTATTACTTGGGATCATCTTGCCAAATGCTCCTTCAACTCCAGATTACGGTTAATAAAGATTCTTTTTAAACCTGAAACAGCAGAATGCACATTGAGCCAATATTCCATAGAATATGGAATTTCCTACATTTTTATAAAAAATGATGAGATGTCCTCAAATGGCTACACTTTGGCTGTTGTGCCTGTCAGAAAAGCAGCTTTTCCAGAATCTTTGTAAATTTTACTTTGCAGTGTAGGCTCCACACCCAAAGTGAATCAGAGAATTCAGAGAAAAGGTGAAGTTGTCTATTACCTTTTATCACGTGTCACGTTTCAAGTGAGACTGAGGCTGTGCTTACGTAGAACACAGAAATAGCTCAAATATCCATGAGAGCTAACTGAGACAACTGATCATTTTCTAAATCCATTTTTTCTCCTGAGAGTGACCACTCTTGAAATAGGATCAGTTTCAACCAATCCATGTCGTATACACTTTATTTTCAAAAGCCTCCTCTGAGCTCCGTCACGCTCTTTCTCTTTCTCAGTCTTCACTGATAGTAAGAGTGCTTGAAACAAACAGAGGTTGGTTGACCAGTGGATTCTCTCAAGACAATTCAAGCTTGGGAATTTTCTTTTGATGCTACAATATTAATGGTGTCTCTTGAAATTTGGTAGATCGAACTACCAAGAAAGTACTTCAGAGATTTTCGTATCTTTTCAAAATGTATTTTGTAATTGTTTTGCCTATGTTAAATGACCTTGTTTATGTAAACTGTCAGTATTATCATGTAATAAAATAAATTTATTTTTAAAACAAAGCAAATGTGTTCACTTAGGAATTTTCTATTGTTACCATGAATTATTAATAGAAATAAATTTGAACATTATTGCCTTAAAAAACCTTATATATTATAGCAACTATCATTAATACGTTTGAAATAGTCTACTCTGACCACGTGTTTTCCTTCGAAACTAAAGAATTTGGAGGTGTGGTAGACACCTATGAGATTGTCTGCCCAACAGCCTGGCCATATTTTTTAACCTCAGCTCCCACCTCCAGCTGCGTTTGGTTGGTCTAAGGCGGGCACTTGATGAAATTGGGCCAATTGGAGTCATTCCCAGGGAAACTGGGAACTCGAAATAAAGTTACTCTTCTTTGGGTTCGTGGGGTGTACAGACGTGCATTTTGACACTTTTGGCAGTCATATTTTGCTCCGTGTGGACCAGAAAAGCAAAAGAGGCTGGTGAGAGAAGAACAGAGGTGAGAGGTGAGTTTCCCGATAGTCTGAGTTCGTATCCCGTGCATTCTCAAAAGTTTAGATTCATTCCATTCCCGTGTGCAGCCTCCACGAGACCTGCTGGTATCTTTATGATAAATTCCTCATTTGACTTAAGCTAATTCTATTTGGATTTCTGTAACCTGGAACCAAGATCCTGACCAACTCTGGTGCATCATGAGGTTGTGGACAACAGTTGCTTAAAGCAGAAATGACATCCTTTATGAAACATTATGTTAAAATCCCAGAGAGGAGGGTGACTTAGCCAGCTTAGAAGGAATCAGGAAAGGCTCCTGAAGGAAATTACATCCGATGACTGGCTCTGAGAAATAAAGGTCTCTGCCCAAATCCTGGGTAAAGCCAGGTATTTCTCGGATCCTTGTCAAATTCTACAGAATTTCTTGGAAAGCTCTAGCAGTGGAGGGGCTAGTGGGTGTTGCTACAAGGGAATGTGAGAAGGGATGGAACCAAGGCTTCGTACCTTGTTCCAGAATGTCCTGTGCATGACAGGGTAAAATATTTGGGCATGTGAGGTGAGATGTTCCCGTTTCCAATACTGTTATATTATTAAGCGATGGGCTGAGATGGAGGAGAGCTTTTATTTTCTTTCCTGAAGTGATTATTTGGGCTTCTACATTTTCCACTCTGCATTATTGCCCATGGACTTGGCAGGTTACATAGAGAGTAGAGTAAATTGTTCTGGGTCAAATAACTTGCTATTTGGATAAGGCCCTGGTTTGTGCAAAATTCTGTGAAGGAAGTCCAGGACATATTTCAGCGCTCATGGTTTTAAGACCAAACTATGGCCTTAATGAGACCTTCGTTTTAGTATATTTTGCAATACTATATTATGAGAGCCTAAATATATTGGGGCATTGCTGTCATTCATTCACTCAAAAATATTTATTAAGTACCTACTAAGTGCCAAGTACCTCAGTTCTGGGACCTCATCAGTGGACAAATAGTGACCGCATGGTCACCAGCTTACGTTGTAGTGGATATACTCTTTCATAGCACTGAATTTAAAGCAAGGCTTATCCAAGAATTCATGTTATCCAGAGGACATTGTCATTAGACTTTCAACCTATACCACTGTCTTGCAGCATGAAACTCAAGATGAGCATTCACAGAACTCAGTATATGGTAGGAAGAGCAGATTTCTTTTGACCACCAAATAATTTACATATTTTAATAATGACTGTCAGCAAAAAAGAGTATAACTATGTTTCTTTGGTGTAGGAATCTTGGTTTATACATTTTTTTGTTGTGGTTGATGAATATGAGTGCTATATTTGGGCATCTGTTCTTCTTCAAATAATTTTCTATGCTTCAAGGCATTTTTCTCTGCAAAGAAAACCTGTTCCCATGTGATCAACTTTGGCAGCTGAGTGTTGATGCCGGAACATAACATGCGAATAGTCTATTCTTGTCTGTCTGTTAGTGTTACTGGACCCTGAGAATGTGTATCTTATAATAACATCTAGTTGACACTTCTGTAAGCTCACTCGTCCTCAGGACCTGTCAGCTACTGGTGTCTGAAATTCTACATTAGGAAACTAAATAAACGATACAACTCCAAAAACTGTATCAGCAATGAATTCCAAGAGATAAATTATGTTTATGCTATTGGAAATTTCAGAATGTGGATACCTAGGAAACTTTAAGCAACAATTACAGTCAGTACTTGTATTATAGAAGAAATGTTAGCCAAACATATTTTTAAAGACTTTTTCCTCCATTTTTTTCTTATACTTACTCAGGTTTAAGTTACCAGAAAAAAAGCACAACAGAGGTACTTCAGTAGGTGTTTTCCTTTATCTCTTTCTTCAGCTTATTTAAAAGAAGTCAAGGAAACAGAATTCTTCACAAACACGGAACTCAGTGTTGCTTGCTACAGAAAGTGTAATTATTCTTGTGAGGTGTGTGCAGAATAATAAAGTATTTTGAAGCTCTGTGATCCAAGCTGGATGACAATTTGTCATATGCTGGATTTTAGTAAGAACTCTTCTACGTGGAAGCCCAGGGAGGTTCCGTTTCCCTGATGGAACTCAGAATGAGGCGTCAGGGCAGTGGCAACCCTCAAAAACGTCAACTTTCTTTGGCTTTAATTATTAATATTATAATTATTACTATTAATTGAATTGAATTATTCATATTATTTCACAGAGAGCTAATGTCAGGACAGGGATACCCGAGTGTTTTATTTTCCCTTCACCTGAAAGCAGACTTTGAGATGAGCACATGGGAACAGCTATTTATTTGGGAAACAGTTCCAGGATATACAAGTAACAGCAAGAGGGGAAAATGAGGCAGAGAAGCATGAGAAGCTCCAGAAGGGCATGTTAGTGAGAGAATTACTGCTGTGGACAGTGGGATTAATCCCACTTGGATCCACTGAGGAACCATGTGGAATGCCCCTCAGAAGTGTCCCACCAAGCCTTGTGTCAAGATGGACTTTCTATTTACAGACATCTGCCCCTCATTGGTTGAGGGTTAAATGCCCTATACATTTGGGTTGTCCTACTCACAGGTAGAGAAATCCTCTGCTATGTTGGAGAAAGCCTCTGGACAGAGAAACAGAATTGGAGGCAAGTGATGTGGGAAAGTAGTGTTTCTAGATCTGTGGAGCTGACGTCCAGGTGGTGGTGGTGGCTTTGGCACCTGGCTTCCTGCAAGCCTGCCAGTCTCTCTCTTCCGCTTCACTGTAGTGACAGGGGTAGAAGGCAGGGTGCAGAAGGATGAGAGAGATGGAGAGAGGAGACAAGACACCCTCGGAGTATGAAGGCAAGCAGTGGAAATG